CTGGAAAAGCTGGCCGTCGACGACGGGACTTCAGACATGCACCAGAACTTCACGCCAGGCAAAGCGACGCGTGCGGGGTCCGACAGCAAAGGCACCCGCAGGGACCGTGCGAACAGTGGCACGTCTGCTGCTCGAAGCGCAGGCAACTCCAAGACAGCCGAGTCGCACCTGGACCTCAGAAGACGAAAAGGCGCTGGAGGCCGCCTTTCAGCAGGCGCAGGCCAGCAAGTTACCACGCAATCTCTCTTTCAAGTTCCACCTGCTGCAGTGTTCAGGAGGAAAGGACAAGATCCGGTGCCGCCGAGACTCCTCCTGCGCCGTGCCTCGTCACGCGACCCAGGCCCCGCAAGAGCCTCAGGCAGCACGAAAATGCAGACTCGCAATGCGATCATCACCGGCTGCCCGGCACACCGCGAGGTCGCCAAGACGCGTGCCAACGTCGGCCTGCCGACGCGGCTTCCCGCAACACCGCAATCAGACAGGCCTGCCTCTCAGCTTCCCGTCCGTGGCGTCCACCCACGTACGTGCCAGGAAGGGAACGAAGACACCATGGGATCTTCTAATTCACGTAAATAGAAAGAACCAAGCAGAGAAGCGCCGCTGCAAGGAAAAGAAGCTGCCGCCACGTCGAGGAGGCGCGTCGGCGTCCGGCGCCTCCTCATCCAGCCACAGCAACCGACCTCGACCGAACGCCGGGCCGAGCATCCAGGCCGGGCATGTCGCGCTGATTCAAGAAAGAACTAGGAATGGATTTCAGCAGAACAAATGACCCCATTGCCCGAAACCTTACAACACGAACAGGCAAAGAAGCAGATGCCCATCCCCCTAACCCGGCCCGAAGCAACGACGCAGGAGCACTTCCAGGGCGCGCTGCAGCTGAGAAAGATGACAGGCGACGGCAACTGCCTCTTTCACGCCCTCGGAGATAGAGATGGAGACGACGCAGTGAGCCTCCGGAACGAGATCATCGCCTACCTCGAAGAAGCAGCAAAAGACCAGGAGGAAGAGCAGGAAGAAGCATGGCTCGACGAGGCCGCATACCTCCAAAACGACCCCAGCGCTTGGGGAGGCGACACTGCCATAGTGGCCTTCACGTTGATGAGACGGCAGAGAGTGATGCTGCACTGGCGCACCGAAGACGGGCGAATCCATACGGATGAGCGCACCCACCTGGACATTGCGGAGGACCTCCAGGCCGCAGGCCAGGAAGTAATTCACCTATGGTACAACGGAAGGGACCACTACGACCTGCTGCTTCCCAGCCAAGCAGCACCGCCCACGGCGTCGCCCGCAGGACCGTCAAGCCGTGCAGCTCCAACGCCGCCGCCACCTGCGCCTCATCCAGAGCCGCGACCGCCCAAGCGCAGCAAAACCGCAACCCAGGAACCCCAGGCAAGCCAGGCGAAGGCCGGCAGGCCCAGTCCAGCGCCGTTCAACTCAGCCGCAGCAGCCGCCGATGGAGCCGCAGATGGAGCCGCAG